TCTATATATATATTTGTGTGTGTATTTGTGTATGTATGTATGTATACCTGTCTCCATCTTCCCAACACTTTCCCCTTTATAATGACGTTCACTTACCTTTGTACTCGATAATTGTATTTCCATTCAATTAATCCAGTGAAATTTCTATTATTGTACATTCTTGTGTTTTTGCAACTAGAAAAACACATCAATTCTTTGCCAGTTTTGTCCCTGCTATTATGTTGCACATTAATCTTTCCCTGACTTCATAACTTCTGCCCATTATCACCCAACAGAAACATTGTGCCTCTCCCCGGCACATACTTTTGGGACCTAATTTTGGCGTAAAGAAATATACTTCTTCCCATAAACAAAAAAGAAGAAAAAAGCTTTTTAAAAAAAATTACTTTTAATCATAACCCAAAACTAATATCATCAACCATTTTTTTGACGCTTGAGAGATGGTTACCATTTTTTAGACACTTGAGAGATAGTCTCTTTAGGTCTTAGTAGCAGCTCACCTGCTTAGGTTGTTATCCCACATCGAGGTTTGGGGTAGTTTATAAGTCTTCTGAAAAACCACAAGAGTTGCCGACTTTTGTGGTTTTCTGTGGATTTAGGTTTGTAAAATGCCGTAAAAGTCTTCTGGCTTTGGTAAAAAAAAAAAAGAGAGATAGTTATCAGCAAAACGAAAATCATCGATGCATATTAGCTATATATATATATATATGTATATACACTGACAGTGTATACACTATCATCGTTTGATTCATGACATATGTGTAAAAGTTAAATTTTAAATTCAAATTTTACATACTTGTCATTCATCCAATACTGCACTGTCAATATGGGAAAGATTAATATATATATATACTGACAGTGTATACACTATCATCGTTTGATTCATGACATATATGTAAAAGTTAAATTTTAAATTCAAATTTTACATACTTGTCATTCATCCAATACTGCACTGTCAATATGGGAAAGATTAATATATATATACAATTGCAGGTTTGTTTCGGATATATATCAATGTGTTTTTGTTTTTATTTTTCCCCTTTCTTTTTTGCGTGCGTGCATCTAAAACCTCTTTAATTAACTAACTAACAATTCTGCATCAATAATCAACTTGGTTTCCAGAGTTTTCTCATACTTGCACGTAATAGATCAATCCCTCCTCACTTTTGCATGACAGTAACAACGTAGCACCTATCTTTTGGAGCACCAATTCTGCTCATTACCATGAAAAAAGAAGGAAAAAAAAAGAAAAGCATTGTTGACTTGCCGGAGAATGTCTAGCTTTTGGAAAGTAGGTAGATGATGATCAAGGGCCGTAAGACATACATATATGAGCAGCAGCCAAAGCACACCGACAATGAACCCAGTCCTGATGCTTTGCCTAAAGTTTCAGTTATTCTTCCTTTCTACGATTGCAACACAAAAATATATGAGGATAGATAGGCTAACATATGATGTGTTGGTGTGTATTAGTAGGGTTAGCCAATGGCATTTTTTCTACATTCAAGGCTTCTTTTCAAGCATAAAGACTAAAGATTTCGGCACAAAACAAATCACAATATTTTTTTAACTCTTTTTTTTTTTAGTAAATTTTATATACAATGCCAGTGTATACACTATCACGGTTGGATAGATGACACATGAACAAATTTTGAAATTCAAATTCAAATTTTGCACATGTATCTTATAATATTATTGTTTACACTAACAGTGTATATAATGTTAATCTTTTTTTTGATAAGTAATATCAAATTAAGTGTACTATGATGTGTTTAGATCCTTGAGACCTGTAATTTCTGTGGCGCATTTGATGATGTATTTTCTGTCATTAGTACAACAGATGAATAGAATTAAAATTTGTGTAAAAAAAAAAAAAATTCCCTAGCTAGGATAGGAAAACCTAGAAACTTTGTAGAAAACTTTATTCAACAATAAATCAACCGACTAACAATTAGTGGACCTAGTGTAGTTATTCTGCCTTCAAAAATTAATGAACAAGAAAAGGACAGTTAGATGCTAATCGATGTCCGGTACTAGATGCAGGTCTCGGATCTATGACAGTAATTGGGTAGCCTTAGCGTCTGCGGAGTAGCTGGGATTATTGCAGATTGTTGGATGGATTGAATCAATCAGCATTAATATTCACCCGCATAATTGCCCTATTATGATGCCCAACTTTGGACCAGCTTAAATGAGGTTGGGTAATCTCAATAATATTAGTACAATTATCACCGCTTAAGAGACCAAGCCAGCTGAAAAAAAAGAAAGAGTTAACCTATATATTGATAGAATAAAGGATTTTTATTTTTTCAATTTTGGTTCTATTTAATGTGTATCAAATCTTCACCACAGCTGTTTGAATTGCTATTTTTAGGAGTTTTTTTTTTTTTTTGTAGAAAAATGTATTATAGCGATTTGATGTATGTGAGGTAAAAAGATGATTAGAAAATGTATTCATAAAAAACGTAAAAATTTTTTGACGAGAACTAACAATCCAAACAAGGGATACTTGTAAAAACACAAAAATGATAGAAAAGATCTCCAGCCCCTAGTCAAGACTCAAGACATGTACATGTAGGCCGTCCCGTTTGGATTAATATCTTTTGAAGTTTTTATAGACAAATATACCGTAACAATTTGATATACGTAAAATAAAAAAGTAATTAAAAAATATGTTCACAGGAAACGTAGAAATTTTTTCCTCAATGCACGCCACTTAACAATCAGAAATATACTTAGAAATTTACTGATAAAAACACAGCTTTCAAGAGTACAGTTGTTCCTGCTCCTCATGGAGAACTGTGGAAATACTAAAATGTTGCAGACCCAGAAATTGCGGCCTAAATGGACATATTATACAACCATGACTCCTGCATAATCTTTAATAGTACTAATAGTAAAAAAAAAATTTCTATTAGTACTACTAAACTATGTCCACTGTGATTTGTGAGTGTACTATAATTCTTGTTGCTATATAATAATAGAATCATTAATTGATGATAACAACCTCGATCATTAGACATTACTCATGACTCTTCTCGTGTGTTGGAGTATGATATTGTATTGTTGGATGGATGTTTGGAACTCAGCCTTTAGCCTTTTATCAACTTTCCCAATACGAAATGTAGCAGAAGAAGATCGCACGCGGGCAGGCTCAGAAACACATATCAGCATAATCATTTTGCTTTCTTGCTACTCTTTCTGGTTTGGGTTTTTGGCATGCACATTACATATGCTGCTCTGAAAGTGCGAAAGAAAGGAGTGCAGTTTTTCTATTAAAAAGAGTGAGCAACAAGCCCGGGCGTACGAAGTTCCACAAAAGACTCAGCCTGCATTTGATTACATAAATGCAACTATAGATTATAGATTCATCTTTCGTGTATACAACGGTGCACAGGTCAATGACAGTGAATGCATGTCACATTTGTAAAGTATAAGAACTTAAAGAGTTTAAATTTAATGTGAAATTAGTTGTTATCCAGTCACATCATCCAATGTATATGTCGTCAGTGTAAAAAAAATTTAATTTTAAAATTATACAGCAATATTATTAGTTTATTGACGTATTCTGCTAATGGGCGACTAATTGAAATCTTAGCGTATACATTCTTACAGTAAAATTAATAAGACGGAACGGATAGATTGGATGGTACAAGTTAGAGGGGGTAAGTGAAAGTGAAATTGAGTTCAAGAACTCACACTTGAGATATGAAACTTGAGTTAGCTCACAAGCTTGGCAGCTTTAGCTGGCCAAGATTAATAAATTCCACATTAGCATTCTGACTTTCTGAGCCCAGTTGCATTCCTGCTTGCAACAAGGGGTTCCAAGAATGCCGGATTTTGTTGGAACTCGTGCTGTTTGACCCTTTAAAATAAAGACAGACATTTTCTTTTTCTTAAATAGTGAGAAAGAGGCAGAGCTGTTAAGGAAAGGAGTGAAATGAATTTAGACTTACAAGAGCAAGAACAAAAAACACAGCCGGAAACTGGCAATAAATAAGCCCATGGTATTTTGCATATTAAAGTTTTTCATGCTGAGAATGAATTACCTGACTAAATGTCCAAGTCAGTAATGGGCCTTCTTTAAGACAGTGTTCTCCTAATCGGATTTTGCCCAAAAAATTTTATTTAATTTTGTTTATAGTGCTTAATAACTCACAACTAATATGTTTCCTTTAGATGGTTTATTATAGTTCACATAAATCGGGCTTGCTTATTTATAGCTAGTAAAAAGGAGAAAGAAAATCCTTTGCCTGTTTAGACCAATTTGTATTTAATAAAGAATGTCATTTCTCTACAACGCCTTAGAGCTGAGCCTATTTCTTTGCATTCGTATTAAATGATTGAATTCTCTCCCTTTGCATCTCAGTTTTGCCATTCCAACTAGGGCTTTGCATCTCAGTTTTGCCATTACAGCTAGGGCTGCAAACGAGGCGAACCGAATCGAATTTTGACCTAATCGAATCGAATCTTGACTTAATTTTAGTGAACTTGAACTCGAGCTCGAGCTCGACGAGCCGACAATTTCAAGCTCGAGCTCGAAAAAAATAAAAAATAATTATCTTATTTTTTAAAAAAATAAAAAATAATTATTTTATTTTATTTTTTAAAAAATAAATAAAATAATATTTTTTTCTTAATAAAATATTAAGAATATATATGTAATTTTACTATTAAAATAAAAATATATATATGTACTTAAAATAATATATATATACTTAAAAATATATATATATATATACTTAAATAAAAAATTAAAAAAAAAAATATATATATATATATATATATATACTCGAGCTGGCGAGCCGAGCTTAATATCGAGCTCGATTTCGAATCGAGCGAGTTTGACTCGAGTCGCTCGCAAGTCTCGATTCATTTGCAGCCCTAATTCCAACACACCAGTTTTTTTGCATAATCTTAGTTAAAACCTAGCAACAGTGACTCCAAACTAGCAAGAACTTTGCAGCAGCAGCAATTAGCCCAAAAACCAACACATAAACAGAAGATAGAAAAAGCTTTAGCCCATGGAATTACATTCATTGGCTTATATCATCTAGTACACATAAAAGATCATTTTTTCAGCTTAGGTAGATAGAAATGTAAGCTGTCATACTTTACGTTTATGATTATACATGTGTAGATATCTATTTACAGTTGTATCATTGAGAGGGTATTCCATTATTTGTAACAGAATCTTGCTCTGGATCTTCACAGACATTGCATCTGCAGAGGGGGCATACCCTGATGAAGCACAACAGAGGAGCAAGAGTGACTATTGGTGTACAGAAAACAATGAGCTTCAGGAGAAAGAAAGTTGATGGACTTACCTATTTATTTCTTTTAGCCATTTATCAATACAAGGCATATGGTATTCGTGTTTGCAGGGAAGAACCCTTAATTTGTCCCCTTCCTCGTACTCGGCCAAACAAATGTAGCACCTGTATTAACATGAGTGTTCTGTCACTGTACAGAAGTAATCCATGGAATGGTAAGGTACCATGCTACAACTGCTAGTGTCAAGTTAGTTTTTTGAACAAAGAATTCACAAGCAACTTGGGATGCAGAAAACAATTGAATCTCTTGCATAGGAACATATAAGTCGAACTACAAAGCCTGTCATTAGAGAAGGGAAGTTATTTAGATGATCTCAACAGGTTCCCACCGAACCCGACAAAAGTATTTAATGGGCTAAAGTGAGTATAACCTAAGAGATTTCTGGACAATGCAATTTCAAGCATTTTAGCTGCACCACAATTATATGAATAAATCCCCTGTTCATCTTTACTTTTCCCTGATTATGCATATATAAACAAAAGCCAGACACTGGTGCAGAAACCTGTCAACACAACTAGAGGACACATGGGCGAGCTACAACTGAAAATCTCTCGTGACAAAAATTTACTCCCTCTCCTTTTCTTTTCCATTGGTTGGTTAGCAATATCATTCTTGAAGCCCATTGTACACCTAACTCCCATGGTTTCTTTGTGCAAGAACAGTTAAATGAATGATAAACCCCATAATATCAATCTACATGTCAGCTGGCCTAAAACATGCTTTGCGCTAAAGGGAACATAACTACACAAACAAAGCCTGCATATAAGACACATACAGCATGAATTCTTTGCAAAACAAACCAAATTAATGCAAGTTGGATCCTCCATCCACTAACTTGAGCAGACTTACTGTGGCGTATCGCCTGGCCTGGTTGCAGTTGCGTCTACTTTTGTGTGATATTTGAGAGGAAATGAGTCTACAACCGACTCTGGAGCTGGGAGTGTAAGCATTGACAGTGAGAGTGATAACGGCTGCCGATGAATCTCATCCAAAACCTAGAGATCAGAGCAGATAATGTGCTCAACCTATTTACTTAATTAAATAATAATCAATGCAAGGAACTAGAGCACATTGAGAATAGAGAGGAATAAAATACATAATCTTCTGGTGTCCCTTGGAAATGCAAATCCAGTTTTCAATTTGTTTCTTGTGACTAGCATTTCCCAACAACTAAAGTAAATGACAAAAACAAGTAAATGACAAAAACAAAAGTGGTGTTACTTTTACATCACAGTCACAGGTCAAACACATATCATTCATGTTAAAAAACAATTAGCATTTAAATAAAATTCTCCATTTGTCTTTCCAAAATCACTAATATTATGTTAATCTATCTCTCACATATACTCTCAATGACAGAGAGCCACAACAGGTCCAGAAGCAAGCTGTTGATTGCTAAATTAGAAATGTTATCAATGCAGATGGAACCTTTTGAGATATTGAAAAGTAACCCTTGAGTTCAAGTTCGTTAGAGTTTTGAATCTTCTTTCAGATCAAGTTAACTCCAAGTACTCTTTGTCAAAACCAAGAACCAGGTAAAAAGTACCAAACACTAAAACTGTCAGAGACAAGGAGGGGCTAATCTCTAGAACAGGACACTCCCTGGATCATAAATTCATACAAATACTGAACAACATTGTCATCCTCAATCTTATAATTGCTTTATGTATCTGTCTATTGAATGCGATGGAAGCCCACTCTTTACTAAAATTTGTCTTCCAAATTGAACACTCAATAAGTTGAAAGAAATAAAATATGATCTAGAAAAATTATGAGTATAACATGGAACGATAAGTAGGTTTTATATTGACCATTTATCTTCTCTTCAAAATCACTGCAGCTAAAAAGTTTAATGATCTACCTCAAACAGAGCTTCAGCGAGCATGATAATTCGTGAAATACTTGCAAGAGTACCAGACTCTTCAGCTGAGAAGAATGAATCACAGGAGCATGTACCGTCAGGATGAAGACCAGATGCACAAAAATCAGTTCGTCGCCCTCCCTCACCATGGCCAAGAACTCTTTCTGAAATCTGTAGGTGAAGAAAGGTGTACTCTTTCAACTGAATAAAAGGTCAAATATATAATAATACAATTCAAAGGCTGTATATAAATAGTTTGAAGACAACTAGCATCTCCTTCTTCCTTCTTGCCTCAGCAGGACACGAGTCAGCACTACAGACACATGAAAGCATGTCTCCATGATGTGTACAAAATGCATATGAACTTAGCAATCTATGTCACTAGGAAAACTCTGTTCGAATCCAATAATAATGATGTCCAGAGATTACCAAAACCAGACTAGAATAGGCATGAAACATCTAATATATCAGCAAATGAAGTTCATGTATAAAAAACCAAAAATTATATAAAGGGAAAGTGAAACATGCAATACAAATTAGAGTCATACATCACACGTAATACATTTCAGCTACATAATTACATAAATATCCACCTAATGTACATGATTGTCAAAGGCAGTGTAAGCAAGGCTCCAAGCCAAAGGGACATATCAGAAACCTCACTTCCCTTAGATACCTTGGGTTTGAGGTGCATGAGGACCTCCTCTATATGGTTCGAGATGAAGATTATCAACTTATAAGAATGAATATTTTCCTAAATGACAATGACCAAGAGATAACAAAATCTAATTCCTGCTCTTCCACAATGCAAATTATGTATTTTTCTTTAGAGGCTTTATAGTTGCCCATCCTTTCGTTATGGTCACTTGTGCTCATCATGTTTCAATGTTGCAGGATACCATTTGCACTGTTACTACTTTCAATTTGTCCACGTTTACCTTATTTTCTAGCTAATTGCCTTTTTCCAAAATCAATGTTATCTTTTTCCCAACAAGCTTCTGGATTGTAAATGATACATTTAAGTGTTTTTGTGCTTGCTTCGATCAGGAAGGTGCATGATCTAAACACCAAGCAACATGACATAGGAATTTGCCTTTTGCCTTTGACAACCAGGATGAGTGAATTGCCATTTAACTCTTGGAAGTTATCCTTTTAAATCTTCAAAACATACAATCCTGCCAAAGAATTCTAAATACCGATATTAATTCAGGTTAGCAGCCTGATTCAGAATTGGAAACGAGAATAAATTTTCGATTTGATAATGTACTAATGGATTACGAGACAAGGCTAAAACAGAATCAATTGAACAACATGCTGATAGGCCAAAATGCATAAATTCATGAGCAAATCCCAATTCAATGACCAAGCACCAACTCTATCTGATGCGATAGCTTGGAATTCAGATATAATATTCCTTGATAAATTCTGAGACAAGTCATAAACTTTTCAACCAGCAAACAAGTATGCAATATGGGTTTCTGCATATCAAATTTTTTACAGATTAAATTCAGGAGGGAATGATAAATCACCTCAGATCTTAAGAGCCATCTTCGACCACTTCTGAAATTACTTCTAGCACCCAGGTAAACAGAATCATGAAATACACCATCATAATGGAGATCACCACTCAAATTAAGAAGCCATCTGTCCTCAGATCCTAGATCATCAGCAGGACCTGTGGCGAAAACTATGGTTGGGGAATCACTAATCCTGCTAAAACTTCGTCTTGATAAAGCTTCCCAATATAGCCTCCTATTGTTCCTTCTTGCTTGACTGCTACTTATTTCAGCAATGCTACTAGATAAAATATTGGAAGGGATACTCACCACATCAAGATGAAGCAAATCTCCTCTTCCAAGATCTTGCTCACTACCTGACATACGAAATCTTGAACTGGAAGGCGTGTCCATTTCAGCATTACTGTTACCAGACAGAAGAAGACTTCCTAAAGGATCAAGGGCAGAAGCAAGGGACCTAGAATCAGAAATCTCAGAACCCAGAACTGCAACCTCATGATTTTCAAAACAATTGCCATCTGGAGATGAATTTCTGCCCTCTTGAGCAACATTTCTCCCATGTTCATTTTCTGAAATGCTCACATTTGCAGGGATCACACTTTGAGATGCCTGTTTACAAGATATACTAGCATGTCACCTTACTCATATCTGGTAAATAGGAACAAAATATAGGAATTACCTGATTGGGAACTAAATCTGTATGGTTTGAATGACATGTCTGATGGCCACTAGCTTCTCTATCTGGCATAGCATATTCTAGAGAGGCATTCTGAGTAGTGGCATTGCTGCTTGATGGAGTTGCAGTCTCAAGTTCAGAACTTGTGTACCCAGCTTCTGAACCAAATATTGTAGAAGATTGTGCTATTGAATCCGAAAAACTATCAGGAGTCAGATTTTCCACAGAATTGATTGTTGGTGATCCCCTTGGATAATCATCAAACTGCAAGTGAAGATCGAGGGTTGTAATAATGCATCAATGTAAGTTAAAAAAAAAAAAAGGGAAAGTAAAGTGGTAGTTTCATTTTCGATATCAACTGACTTCCCCAAGTACGTAGACAGAACCTGATTTCTAGGAGAATAAAAACAACAAGAACCACCAACATAATAAATCGTTCTATTAAAACTACTGTTTTATTATAAGTTCCGTTGTAATTAAGTCTGTGATGAAAACAAAACCATACAATGAAAACTTAAATCTCTAATAAACATGTTCTACACAATAGGGAACTCAACAACGACAACGATATCCAGCTGACCATCAACTAGAGACGCACCTAAATTCCATTGCCCCCTAAAAACACTCGGTTCACGTACAGGGCCAATCAAGTATTGCATTTACTGCCTCAAAAGGTGATGGCGCGAATTATAAATTTTTCCACTCATCTTTGGTAGAACCAAAATTGATGGAAGTTGTAGCAACAAAGTTTCCAAAATAAAAAAGAAGCAAATAACATGCTCAATCCAAATATGGATTATATTACTCTGTCTTTTATTTTGATGTGTTCATTCATGCTTACCAACTTCTACTTCTAATACCACAAACTGAAAAACACCCTCTGAATGATCAACAAGATGTGCAAATTTTACAGCCACAGGCCTTTCAGTAATCGATAATTAAACCAATATTTCCGCCCTAAATACAAACAGACACAAGACAAATGTAACAACCAGAGTCATCTCAAACATCACCATCAATATTAGTCTTTTAGTGAGGTCAACTCTCTCAAAGATTCATGAACAGAAACAACCAGAGTTAATTTTTTTCCCTATGCAGATATAGGGAAAAAAATTTTGTAGGCTATTCACAGAAGTTTTCCATATAGTACCTCAATTGGTAATCGAGAAGAAGAGGAACCACAGATGAGGAAAGATGGGAGCTTAAACTTGGTGCTCTTGAGTTTAGACCCTGGCCCAGATGGTTTTCTTGATGATGATGGTTCTGACGGCGGAGATATACGGCGACTGGCGCTTGAGCCCATGTTGAGTTTTGGAAAGAAAAAGGCAAATTCTTGAGGTAGAAGAAGAAGATGATGAAAATGGGTGGCAAGAGACTGCAGAGCTGAGAGTTGAGAAGAGAGAAAGAGAGCAAAAGCCAAAAAAGTGACGGTGAAGTAGACAAAGTCGTCGTCTGCTTTTACAATTTTTCTAGTCCTTTACTTGATACTGCTGCTAGTTACCAGTAATAATTGCAATTTTGGTCGTTTGTAGAGTAATACGACTGTATCAGAGTATTAGTTGGATGTAGTTGTTGATCAGGAGCAAATGGTTTTCTTTTCCATTTTGTCAGCTATGTATAATAGTAGGTTCAATTTGCTTGCACCAATGAGCTAATAATTCACCTCTACTACAGATTTTATCCAAGAACACCAACAATAAAGAAATGTATAATATTTATGATCGTATATTTTACGTAAAATTTTTATTGCTGAAACCAAGTTTAATTTGTTAAAATTTTTTTCATAAAATAATTATATATTAGTAGTTATAATGCTTATGGATAATTATGTTGAAAACGTATATTTCCTCCCGTACAGCGCTTCGTATGGTGCCATTTGAATGGACGAATGGTAGCCATTATTGTACGCAAACTCCACTAAGGTCATGTGTTGACCCCAATTACCCCTAAAATCCAGAATGCAGGTCCTTAACATATCCTCGAGAGTTTGAATTGTTCGTTCCGATTGCCCATCCGTCTGAGGGTGATAGGTGGTACTTAGGTTGAGTTTAGTCCATAAAATCTCTTGAAACTTCTGCCAAAACCTAGATACGAAGTGGGGATCTCTGTCTGAGACGATGCTCACAGGAACCATGCAGTCTTACGATCTCGTCCATGTACACCTGAGTCAATTTTTGCATGGAGTACTTCATGTTTACCGGCAAGAAATGGGCCGATTTGGTTAATCAATCGACGATCACCCAAACGGCATCGTGTCCCCGTTTCGTTCGCGGCAAACCTGAAACGAAATCCATTGTGATGTTTTCCCACTTCCACTCAGGTATCTCAAGGGGTTGTAACAAGCCCGATGGTTTTTGATGCACCGCCTTAACCTGTTGGCAAACGAGACATTTTTGCACGTACAGAGCGATTTCCTTCTTCATGTTATCCCACCAATAGGCTCCTTTTAGGTCCTAATACATCTTGCTACTACCCGGATGGATCGCGTATTTGGATCGATGAGCCTCCTCTAAGATTTCCGTCTTTAACATTTCATCTGTAGGCACCACCACGCAGTTTTGGTATCTCGGGGACCAAAGTTGAAGTCGATCGATTCCCCTTTTTCCACCTTCTCTCCCCACTTTCACACCATCAAATCCTCTTTTTGTACTTCTTTAATTCGCTCCAGTAGGGTGGATGTTACCTTAATATCACTAAAAACCACCTTATGACTCCCAAGGCAGGGTTTCCACTTGCAAACGGATTCTAACAAATCCCACTCTTTGATCATTAACCCTGCTACTTGAGCCTTACGACTTAAGGCATCAGCCACCATGTTCGCCTTCCCCGGATGGTAGTTGATAGTGCAGTCATAATCCTCTAAAAATTCTATCCACCGTCGCTGTCTCATATTTAACTCCTTTTGGGAGAAAAAATATCTAAGGCTCTTGTGATCTGAGTACACCTCGAACGTTACACCATATAGATAGTGCCTCCATTTCTTTAGAGCGAAAACAACCGCGGCTAACTCCAGATCATGGGTCGGGTAGTTCTGCTCGTGGGGTTTTAACTTCCTAGAGGCAAAGGATATCACATTTCGGTTCTGCATCAGCACACACCCTAGACCTTCCCGTGATGCATCGGTATAAACGGCAAACCCTTCAACTCCGTTAGGCAGGACTAGAACTGGCGCCATGGTCAACCTTTTCTTTAATTCCTGAAAACTCGCGTCGCATTTGTCATTCCACATAAATTGACAATGCTTATTTGTCAGGTCGGTTAAAGGACCGGCCAGTTTAGAAAAGTCTTTGATAAAACGCCGGTAGTACCCAGCCAACCCTAGAAAGCTACGAATCTCCGTGGGGTTTTCTGGTCTCTTCCAATTAGTCACGACATCTACTTTCGCCGGATCAACCGAATTGCCCTCTTGAGAAATTACATGCCCTAAAAGGAAATTTTCTCCAGCTAAAATTCGCATTTACTGAACTTGGCGTACAATTGATGCTCTCTTAGGGTTTGCAAGACAATCCTCAGGTGCTGCTCATGCTCTTCACGTGTCTTGGATTAGACTATAATGTCGTCGATGAAGACCACGACAAATCGATCCAAGTAGGGCTTAAAAACCCTATGCATTAAATCCATGAAGACGGCAGGGGCATTGGTCAGTCCAAAGGACATAACCGCGAACTCGTAATGCCCGTATCTCGAGTTGAATGCAGTTTTCGGGATATCCTCCTTTCTGATTAACAACTGGTAATGCCCCTGGCGGAGGTCCAGTTATTGCTCCTTACAACTGGTCAAACAACTCGTCAATATGGGGCAGTGGATACTTATTTTTAATCGTGACATTGTTCAGGCCCCGATACACATCCTCAAACTTCCGTCCTTTTTCTTCACAAACAGTACAGGGGCTCCCCAAGGAGACCTACTCTCCTGAATGAACCCCCGCTCCAAAAGGTCTTGTAATTGCAAGTTCAGCTCCTTAATGTGACGCTCCCACTTCTCCCTAAGGCGAACCAAAGGGTATCCGCGGGACGCCTGCCCAGCTCTCGCCAGGACTCAAGCAATTTCCGTCCAAGCTTAATACAATACTAAACGTTACGATTAAATATCATAAATACAATCAGTTCGTAAGCATTCAAGCTTATCAATATTCAACATCTGCCCAACATTACATCGGAATCTCGAAATACATCAATATTCAAATTATACATTAATCACAAGTCTAGCCCCAAAGTGCAACGAAACCCAAAAAAAACAAGAGTACGCCAAGAGGGGTTTCTCCAACATTTCTCCAATTCCAATCCTGTTAAGGAAAATAAATCTACAGGGTGAGCTAAACGCTCGTGAGGCCAAGAACACACATGCAAGCACATTGTTCAAATAGCAAACCCAAATTTATTGCATAAAACCGTGATGTTTCAATAATCAACCATTCGAACAGGAAAAGTAATCAGAAACAATTCAAGGATATAGTAGCTCTCAGGAGCTAAGTTCCACTCGCTCTGCCGATGTCATTCGTATACCTTCCCGCGTTGACCCTCCTATCAACCGGGTCGGTATTTCCATTTCCGTAGATCACCACTTACTTCCCTCCGTCCACCGTACACCCCAAGGGTCCACAATGTCCATTATTGGGCGATACTCAACGAGTATGCCAAGCAAGACCTCTTATTAGGTCGAGCTTATATGAATCTCATGGCTCGCCCAAATCCCCGACCAAGCCCATTGCTGGCTCAAGTCTAAGGACGGCCTATGAGCTTGGGCGTCCCCCATTCATTTGAAAGTCGAGGAGGTTCACTCCAGCGACACAAGCATTCATGACATAACATTTCATTTCATTCATTCATTCAATACATTTCATTCATTCATTTGAAACTAGAACGAGTGCGATAAAGTACGCACCCGCCCTTATTTTTAAAACTTTCAACAATTACCACAATAAGCAAGTATCAAATTTCACACACTTGACACTCACCGAGCAATTCAATAAGAATTATTTTCTGGAAGTTCAAGTGTCCACTGTAAGACCCTCTTGAAGGTCTCCTTGCGCGCCTGGCAATTAATAGCGGATAATCACACAAATAACCACTTATCAAGGAAGATTGTACTCTAGTACAATCTAAAGATTATTTCACAAAAGGAACCTCAATTACACGCAAATCGAGGTTCAACTAGCCTTTTATTATGTACAATATTATTATTTGAGTTTTTATCACGAAAAGCGAGGACAAAATGTTTGAATAATACTAAGAGAATTAAGAATTTTGGAAAAACTCCTTTGCCTTGAAAATTGAGAAATTTCAGTTTTATCCTAAATTTTGAAAAATCGTAACTCGCTCGGCATAAGTCGAGAATTGGAAAACTTTATACCGTTGGAAACCTTTTGGAAAGTGTTAAAAGTTCTTAGAAGACACCTTTCCACAAATCTAAGTGGAAAGTACTCAAAAATGAGCTTGAAGGTACAGGTTTGGTTTACAAGGCAGAATTAAGTTGGATTTCGGCCAACTTTGAAAATTCGGCACGATTCACATGTTGCAAACCAGCCTCTGAAATTTGTCACTCAATTAGAGTTACAAGAGAGGTTTATAACAAAACAAGCGGATCAAGAATCGGAGTTTCGAGTACCGAGATACGGTAGCTCAAAGTTGGGGAAATTCAAGACTGGAAAAGAATTTCCAGATTTGAACCTCCAACACTAGGAATTTAATTGGGTATCGAAACGAACTCGGATTGGTACTAAAATTGGCAGTATTTTACTCCCATATGAAAGGTACCGCTCTATCAAATTTCAGGGAAAAATACCTTCGGAAAGATAGTTAATTAGTCAATCAAAGTTCAGGAAAAATTCTAAGGCAATCTGCCTTTTGACTTTCATTTCCCAATTTCCAATCGTTTAACCAAGAAAGCTATCCAACCATGGTTCATTGGTGAAATAAAGGTCTAAGATACATCCATGATACCTTTGGTAATGGTTTAGCACCAAAATTTCAATTAATAAGATCACTCCCAAGTTTTTGTCCCAAATCTGTCCAAATATTACGTTTTTCCAAAACAGGGCAGTCCTCTTGTTTTAGTCACAACTCAATCAATTTAACTCGGAATCGAGCATGGCTTACACCTTGGAAAATACATTCATAGGGTTAAAATACCACAGAAGAAATCATTTCCAAATTCGGCACCCATCTGGTTCAAAATCGGCATCAAGTTGCTGCCTGTACACTTCATTCCAGATGAACAGAGCAACAGGACAGCGAACTTAAAACATTTGGTTTGGCTTGCTCACAAAGAATCAGAACGTGTATTATATACCAAATTAAAGCCAGGAATGTCTAGTTTCAAATGCCACCAACGACACATGATTCCGACATCCAAGGACAGAGTTATAGCCGAAATACTACCACTGGTCAGAGTCATACGCGAACAGTTTTCCAGATTTGCTGGTTTCTCAAAAAAATTCATTTGCTCAATTAAA